TTCATGTTACACAAAAAAATCGCTTGGTCATTTCTGAGGAAGCCCTGGTGGCATAATGGTTACGTGTTCGGCTGCGATCTGGAAGGGCAGCAGTTCAAAACCACTAGCAGTTCTGAGGGAGAATGTCAGGATGGGGCTTTCTATTGACAGTCTTGAGAACCCACAGGAGCAGTTCTACCCTGTCCTACAGGGTCACTGTGAGTCAGCATCCACCCGATGGCACTGCAGAAAAAGAGTGTCAGTGTAGACTCTCAAACCAGGGGCAAACTTTCTAGACACTGTTTATTGAAATCCACTGTTCTCTCCAAGGGGTGCAGAGCCTATGGATGCTGAAAGGAGGCGAGGACCTCACCTCGGGCTAAGAGAGAGAGAAACTCCCCAGATGTGGCACACTGAATTTGGACCTTGGGCCTCCAAAATTGTGAAAAAAAATTAATTTCTGTTCATTAAAGCCAAAACATAAATAAAATATACTGGCCTACCTTAAATGTTGAAAGAACCTTTTAGCTTCATATTGTTTTCTCATATTACACATGGGTCTCCAGAAAATATTTGTATATAAACAGTTATAAAGGCTATATAAGTGACATATTCCTTTACATTAAAAAAAATCTCTTCAGTTATCATCACCAAGATTCACTGAAAACAATCGGTACATATTGGACAGCTTTAGAGCTCATGGAAAGATACAAGGTTTTCAAAATTCTACTCTTTTTTTCCTTGGAATCTGAAATTATATCATTGTTGACAAATACGGTCAGTCATTTTCCATGAAGAGACAGGCTCACTTCATTCTTTCTAGAAAATACTTGGCAAATACCCAAGTGAAAATCCTGCCTTGTCCCTTTTCCTTTCAAAAGTAAAAAGACTATTTCATAAAACAAAAGTGGCTCATCAGTTTCCTCAGTGGTTTCCCTCTAGACAACTATCAGACGCACTATTCAGCAGACGGCACTGATGATGCTTCTAACTTTGTCAAAACTAATCAAGAGGCATATGAAGGCCACGAATAAACAAAATTAATCATTTGTTCTGCATCACAGAACACTCACAGGGAGCTGGCATTGCTTTGCTTATCTCTTTTGTGTTGTTGCAAGCACACGCCAATGAACATAGTGATTTATACAGTTGGGGGCCACTGCCCTGTTTCACACTAAAACCCCAGCTGCTGATCCGCCCCAGCACTAGCATCATGGACGCAAGTGTCTACACGGTGAGAAAGAGTTCACAACAGCTGCCCTTTATTATCAAAGTTGTTTTTGGTTTTTTTTAATATCCAAGTTGTTTTGATCTTTGGGACTCACAGCAAGAGTCTCAGGGACTTCCAGGGGTCCGTAGACCACACTTCTGAGAAATGGGGATCTGAATAAGTAGACTTGGATGCTGAAAGGACACGAAGACTATTATTGGCTACACAGTGGTGCTCATTACCAGCTGGTTTGATGAACTAATCCACATGTGCCTTGGAAAAGAGGCCTGATGGTCTGCTTCCAAAAGGTTACAGCTTTGAAAACATTACAGAGTAGTTCTACCCTGCACACAAAGGGGTCACTAGAAGTCAGACTCAATTCAAAAGCAAGTATTTGCATAAGATAACGCAATGGTTCCTAGAAATGAAGAGCTAAGAAATATCCTCAATGCTACATATATACAAGATCATTTATGATTAAGTATGCTTATTTGAAAAGATAATTTACGTATAATTGGACATTAATGAATGAAATTTACATGTAATTATCATTTAGAATAACTTGAGTGATTTATGATTTATGATGGACTATCTCCAAAACTCCAAACTTAGTGAGTGCTATTGGATCAATTTTGACCCATAATGACTGAGATAGTTAAGGTTGAGTGTGCCAACCTGGCCAATAAACACATGTGGGATTAATTGAAGGGCAGGGAAATAAATGGCTTGGTGAGCCTCACCTTTCTGTTTCTCAGGTCTCTTGCTCTCTGATTGTCAGATCAGGGTGCAGCTGCCTTAGCCAGTTCCCTGCATCAGCTGGCAAGGCTCACTTCCTGCAAGACATCCCTGAGGAAAAGCTACATGGACCTACCATGATGCAGCCCTGGGTGCTAGAGTAGCCGCATGAAGACCCCTGCCAGTGCTGAGATGCTTACACGTTTACTGATTCGGCTTCCCTCCTGCAGTCGGCATCATTGTGTGTGTTTTATGAGATGGAGGAGGACTTTGTAGATTGGTGTCAGACTTATGGGCTAATGTTGGACTTATGGGCTTGGACAGCACTGGGTTGGGATGCTTTCTTAATGTACACTTATCCTTTATATAAACCTCTTTCTTATATACATATGAGTGTTTGTGAATTTGTTTCTGCAGTCTGCCTAGACTAACAAAATGACCATACAGGACTGAGTAGAACTGTTTGATGCATTTCCAAGAATGTAGCTCCTTCTGAGAATGGAAAGCCTTTTCTTTCTTCTGCCGGCAGCTAACCTAATTTCGAGCTGCTGATCTTGTGGTAGCAGCCAAACATGTAACCCACTACATCACCAGGGTTCCTGATGGACAATCTAGAAAATAATAATAGTAATTCATAAACTCCCAACAATTGGAGTTAATTCTGACTCAGTGATTCAAACTCTTTTGGTAGAATTGTCCTTTGGGGTTCCCAAGACTATATAGATCTTGATGGGAACAAAAAGCCTCATCTTTCTCCCATGGAGTGACTAGTGGGTTCAAACCACTGACCTTGTGGGTAGCAGCCCAATTCACAGAACTCAATACAGCACCAGGACTTCTTAGTCTATATAATACCAGTTTATATTAAATGGCATCATAACAAACTTCTAAGCATGTAGTACTTAACATGTTTTCTCATATAAAACTAAAGAGAGTTGATAAGTCTCTTAGTTTTCTACATTTGATCTTAGCCAAAAGGCCGAGAAGTAACACGTCTCTTAGTTTTCTACTTTCACTTAAAATTTTTTTATTTTGTTTTATGAACTGCAATATATGAATTGTTGACTTGTACAGATTAAACTCTTAAGCAACTAAGCACTATATACACAGTGGGGTATAGTGATAGGTTAAAATTTTCAATAATATCTATTCATATCAATAGAGCCACACTTACTAGTGATTTGAGTGAAAGTTGGCAAATTGATTTTCCATTCAACAATTCATACACATTTTATTTTCTGACACCTATGGAATCTCACAGTGTAATCACACTCTTCCCACTCCTCCCTTTTCAATATTTCCATTCATCCTTCATTTCTAACCCTTCCGGCCTCTGAGCTTTATCCCTGGACAAACGCTGTCCTTGGGATCTCATAGATTGGTTAGTGTTGCTGTTCACCTTAAACCAAAACCAAGCCAATTGCCGTCCAGTTGATTCTGACACACAGAGACGCAGAGACGCAGAATAAAACAACTCCGTAAGATTTCAGAGACTAGGCACACTTATGGGAGCAGGCAGTCTCATATTTTCTCTGCATAGTGATTTTAAACCGCGAACTTTGTAGTTAGCAGCCAAGTTCTTAACCCACTGTACACAAGGGACCCTTATGAGCTGCTTAAACTTTGTTAAAGTCATTTGATGTTTAATGCCAGTACATTTTAATTCAAATGAAATTCATAATGTATAACAGGGGTGTCAAACTCAATTAAAACAAGGGCCATTTGGTGCAACAGGCAAGATTCATGCAGGCCACATCACATTTATAAATTTTTATTTTGAAATAAGGATTCAGAATTATGGATAGGATAATTAAAACACTATATAATTGCTTTCATTTAAACATTTAAATAAAATGTTTTATTTTACTTTAATTAAATAAAAATTATTTTATTTAAAGTATTTATAAAACTAAAATTATTCTTTTTTCCTGAAACTTGCCAGCGCTTTCCTCCTACTAGTTTTCACTTACCTCTTATGTCGTGACCAGAAAATATAACAAAGTAACTAATGAAAAACACAAAATGTTGGACAGCTGACAAACATGATGCACAATTGTAATGGCTTCCCTCTAAAAATGTTAACTAGTGCTGCCACTAGGTATGATTCATAATATCACAACCCAGAGTGCTCTTTTTAACTTTTCGCTATTGGAATCTGTTTACATGACGTGACACTGAGAGCGGCAGACACATGGCTTCCAAACGTTGCTGGAACTGAATCAGTGCGTTTCTACACGTCCACAGGCCCCCAGGAAAGGCCCTGGGCCACATGTATACTCACCTTCAGTAGTTAAAGGGTTAACTAGGGAATTGTGAGTATGATATTGCCCCGATCTCCCCTAAGTGCTATTTTCTTTATAACAATTTTTCTATTTTCATTTTATTTCAGAGCATCGTGGGCCACAAAAAAATTACCTCAGGGGCTGCATGTGCCCTGTGGGCCACCAGTTTTGACACTCCTCATGTATAACATTGGAAAAAATGTTCATCATCATTGTGCTTTTGGATTTTTACATTTTAGCTTTCTGAAAGATACATTATCATTCAAAACCCACTGCCATTGAACTGATGCCGACTCATAAGGACCCTATAGGACAGAGTAGAGCTGCTTTTGGGGGGTTCTGAGCCTGTAATTCCTAAAGGAATAACAAGCCCTATCTTTCTCCCAAGAAGCAGCTGGTGGTTTTCAACTGCTGACCATGCAATTAGCAGTCCAACATGTAACCACTGTGTCACTAGGGATCCAAAAGATACATTAGTAAAGAATAATACAGATATTCAAAATGCAATACATATTAATGATACCCTTCAATTAAAAATAGGATCTTCTGGTGAAATTGGGAAGTTTATTCATTTCAGATGAAAAAAAAAAATCAAGGTTGATTTAGGAAGTGTTCAAAATAAAGCTGAGTATAGATTCACATGTGCAAAATAAGCCATCTTAAAACTATCCTTAAACCCTAGTTACCGGATCATAACATCCTAATAAGCATGTTATAAAACTACATTTCAATCTGTGCATACAATTTAAATCTTTTAAAACAGAAATGACTGTTAATAGAGAAGGTCAACTTACTCGATCTGCTAATCCTCCAGGAACTATAGTTCTCACAACCACGCCACTCAATTTTCCTCCAACTATCCCGAAACCTAATCCGGAGCCATCATTGATGAGCTCCACATCTTCAATGTGGCCCCAACAAGCCTACAAATGAAGAACAAGGTCAAAGTCACACATAGCAGCAACACATACATTCCTAATTTTCTCTGTTAACTACCACCCACTGCCCTCTAATAGTTCTGACTCCAGCAACCCCTGGGGACAGATCAGAACTGCTCCACGGGGCTTCCAAGCCTGTCAATCTGCTGTGGAGCAGACAGCTGCATCTTTCTCCTGTGGACATGCTGGTGAGTTTAAACTTGCTAGTAACAGCATGGTGTTTAATCTGCCGCTCCACACGCCCACAGCTTTCTAGTACAATAACTATTAATGCACCAGATATACAATAAATTGAACATTCATATAATTCGCCAAGTCAACTTTCTAGAGTCTAAGAGACTCTATATAGAGATTATATAAATATAATCAGATAGTCCCTACCCAAAGAATCTTTAAACCAGTATATGACCTAAAACACAAAGAATTAAAATGCAAGACAGAGTATTTGATCATAAGACGTTCTCCTCCAAGAGGATAAGAAATGGGATCCATTCCACACTGTAGGCCCGTAGTACGTTCACAGCCATGCAGTCAGTTCTGGTCAACAGCAGCTCTGCAGGACAGTGTACAGCTGCCCCTGTGGGTTACTGAGACTGTAATCTGTGCAGGAGAAGACTAGCTCATCTTTTCCCACAGAAGGGTTTTGGTGAACCACTACACCCCCAGGACTGCCTAGGCCTGAAGCAGACACCATTAGTAGTCTAAAATAACACATGATGAAAACGGAGACATGGAGCATTGAAGGTAGCTGCCCAGTGCCTGGTACACAGTAGAAACCTGATAAATATGTCCTTGCCTGAAGTAAAAAAGAATCACAAGGTAAAAAAGATTTGCAGGAAGAGAAGGATGAGAAGTGAAGTCAAATGAAGAATTCCTGAAAGCATTACAGAAAACAGCATTTAAACTGCACTACAGAGAAGGAAGATTATATAAGCAAAGAGACAATGTAACCACTAGCAAGAACGGCCAAATATCGGCTCAGAGAGTCAGAGTTGGGGTTGGGGTTGGGGTTGGTGGGGAGAATGTTCTAAAACTGATTGTGGTAATGATTGTACAGTTCCTCTTGATACGATTGAACAACTGAATTGTATGATATGTGGATTAAGTGCCAATAAAAATGTTAAAAAAGTGAGGTTTAAATAAGAAAACAAAATGGGAAAAAAGCATGCTTAACATTAGTCTGGCAACAATTTGTAGAATGAGATGGTAAGTCTGATAGAGACTGGTAGAACCCCTGAGACCATGGCCCTTGATACCCTTCAAAGCCAGAACTGAATCCATCCCCGGGGATCACCTTTCCACCAAACAGTATGCGGCTTACAGAGTGAACAAGAACAATCGACCACATGAGACTAAAGAACAGGACTTGCACAAAACCACACTTAAGAGGGCAGGAAGGGGCCAGAGAAGAACGATTAACAGATACAGACATGAGAAGAGGACTGTTATACTGAGGAGGATGCAATCAATATCATGAAACCAAATGTGCATAAAATGTTGAATGAAAATCTAACTTGCTCTGTAGTCTTCAACCCATAACACAATTAAAACAGAAGGAGAAAATGGTAAGACAGACATGAGGTGAAGAGATTAACTCAGAAAACTTCGAAGAATAAAGGGAGGACTGACTGAGAATATTAGCAATAGGAATGTAGGAATCAGACTGCTAGATCTAAGTATTTCCCCTCTATCAGGCTTCCATCAGTAATATACATTAAATTCCCATAATCCCACTGCACAGCAACATTCTCCTGATTGGCAAGATCATCAGAGGATACTAATTTCTTTACTTTTCCAACAGTTTTTCTACTACACTAAACCCAAAAGTTACTATGAAATACTAAAACAACTAGATATTCTAGCACTATTTAATATTTAATTCATGTCTGGAACCATATCTAGTACATGGGAAATAACGTTTGCTTAACAAACAAAAAAAACTGAATTAATGAAAGCAGCTAATATTCAGAGAGGGCTTATTGTATACCGAGCATTGTGCTTAGGGCTTCCTGTTCTTCTCATTGAACCCTTACAACAGCTCTTAGACAACGCTGAAGTCCAAGGTAATAGATGATGAACAAGGTAACAGAGGCATGCACCAAGTTAAGGAGCCTTAATGGTGGTACAGTTAGCAAGTTAGAGAACTGGACTTGTATCCATCTAACTCTGATTCCAAAGTCCTGTACTTAACCACTGTGCTAAGCAATCTCCCATTCTGTTCATTCTATTAGGTTTATCTATTAGGTAAATTGTGCTATCTAGATATTACTGTTTACAATAGGGGAAAGAGCTGTATGTTAATTTGTGTCCTGACCTTGTACTGCTCCCAGACACTACATTTTCTTTTGTCTCAATGAATAAAAATTAAATAAATCAGCTAGCACTTAGTGTTATAAGAAAATAAGATTTATTAGCTTACATTCTGAAGATGCAAGGCAAAACCGGCAAGGTATTATGGACCAAGTTTAAGGATTCTCAAAATAGACATCTACTTTTGTTTTGTTTTTAATTGTTCAGTATAGATCTTATAGGAAAAAAACTGAAATAATGTTGGAGTATCAATAATCTAGTCATAAGACCTAACATTATCTCAAAGAAATAATACTTTTGGAATAACCAAATCTTACTTAAGATACTCAATAGTAAATGTCTAATAAAAATTCTCAGCTTAATTACTTAGGTGGCAATATGACTAACGGATACAAAGCCTCTATCACAAAATAAATTACATTAATACTTCCAATTTGTTCTTGATATTAAATTATAATGTTAAATAAGGAGACCTGTAGAATCTTGAAGACACACAGAGACAAAGCCAACCATGGAGTATCCTATAGCAATGCATTTGGAGAGAGCATCATCTTTCTTGATGATGTCTTATTCAACTTCTGTATCCTTTAGAAACTCAATTACACAATTCAAAATGAAGACGTTTTCCAAATTTGAAACTCACAGTTTCAGGCAGAGTTGTACCACTTAGGCTGGTGGAAGTACGGCTTCTTGAATGGGCTGGGTCCCTGGCTACAACCAGGCACAAAGATCCAGAGGTTTGTTGTAATAATGCAATTGCTTGCTGATGGGAAATCTTCTGATCCAGTGGTGTGCGATTAATGGCCAGTATTTGGTCATTTTCCTTTAACCTTTGATCTCTTGGGAAAATAAAAAGTATTTATTTTTATTTTTAAGTTTTATTGGCACTTCATCTACATATCATACAATTCAGTAGTTCAAGCATATCAAGAAGACTTGTACAACTGAAAAGATTTTTTAAAATGATAAAATACCCACATAAGAATCTGCTGCTCAAGTTTAAGATAGTCTGTTATTGCTCATATTACCACTTGACTTAGTGTATTCATTCAAATAATCATTTCATTATGTGCAACACAGCTCTTGGGAGTTCTTCCATGAAAGCACTTATTAACCAACTAATTAACTAATTAGACAGTGCAACCTTAATACAATTACACACATGTGCGCACATACACATACATACATTTTAAAAGCCATTTGACTGGAGATTGAAATAAAAATAATTTATAGAGTATCACTGCTAATGTTCTGCAAGTATGGGTGCTGCCCCCATTGCTGCCCAAGTTCAGTATTCCTGGGCCTCTTCCACTTTGACTCCCACTCACAAATATGCTCTTAAATTCCTCTTTAACAGATTCATCCAGACTTCCCTGCCATATGTCCAACAATTGTCATTGGAGGTCAAATGCTAGTTCTAGAAATTCAGTAGAGATTACTTGCAAATCTACCTGAGTTCTTATCTGTCTCCGAAGCACCAGTGTCCTAATTCTAACCAAGGTTTAAAAAAGAGACTATTTAAAAAAGAAATTAGTGGGGAATTTATTAGGTTTTTTAAAATTATTATAGTTACTATTTATTGAGTACTTCCTGTGAGTCAGGTCCTGTGCCAAGTGCTTTATGCATTCTCTTCCACTTCCTCCCTACACCAATCCCTTCTCCAAAAACTCTGATCTACTCATTCCCTCTCAATACTCTTGGCATTTCCTGTTCTGGAAATTATAGCTTCCAACTCAAATGCCCTTCCACTGTGAACATCCAAACTCAGTCCATCCCTTCCAATCCAGCTGAGTCTCCCCTCCATTACTAATAACATTACAAGGCTACCATAAACCACTTTATGTATTAGCTACTGAAAACTCCTATGTATGAAACGCATATGCTTGTCCACAGAAGTAGCTACAGTCTTCTGCATTCATTTTTAAGTTCTCTGAGGATAAGAACTTGCAGGTCTTAGATTAGCAAGTTGGAATTAGCAAGTTGAGTACTTCAATTTTTGAAACTTAAATTGTGGGTGGTTGTCCCAATAGATTGTGAATATCACGAAAATTGTGGTTTAAAATGTTTTTATTAGTATTAGAAAAGTCTTTTGGCATGTTATTAAGAGATAAGAACAAAATACATAGTTGCATATATCTTTATTGAAAGAATATTTTCTTTTCCTTTTTAAAAATTAATTCCTCACTTTATTGGGAGCTCTTACAAATGTCATAGGATTCCATAATTCCGATCGTTCAAGCATAATTGTTCAATTGCTACTATAATCAGTTTCAAAACATTTTCTTTCTTCTTGAACTCTTTGATATCAGCTCCCCAGAAGAATATTTTCTAATACCTATCCTAGGTATGTCAGGTGAATGAAAGTCCAAGTATTATTTTATTATTATTGTATTTTCATATAATTTTTTACTGTAATATTCATATGTATTACTTTCACAATGATTATATAACTTTAAAATACTGTTTGCAAATGATTCTTGTGAACTTTGTTCAGTACTAAAGATATATTTATTTTTAAGTGTGAATACTAAAGGAAAGTATCAAAAAATAATTCCATTTCACCTTTATTGCCCTCCTCTCACTAACTTCATCACCTAAAATCCTATTCACAACTTGTTCATTTAGGGATATTCCTAAATAACCCAGAATGAATGAGTTTCTCTGAATCGCTTCAGCTCTAATGTAATTCATTTTGCATCTCAAATTATTCATGCACAAATGTTCTACTTTCGGGAAATCAATCTATTTTCATTTAACTTTCCCTCCTACCTGGGAGGTTTCTACAGCAACTCTTTTCTTTCCAGTTAGTGTCTGCTCAGGGAATACAAATTCAATCCAACATGAATAAACTACAGAAGAGGCATCTAAAATATATTGAATTTTGGGGTGTGCTTGAAAGTTTAATAGAATCCGTTTTACTATTACTATTATTTCTAATTTAACTTCCTCATATTATAAAAGCTTCTCAATTGACAAAATATCACTGAATTCACACTTTCCATTCAAGAAGAGACCAGTTCTCGTCTTTCTACCAACTAATGAATTTTTATAACTTCAACAACCAACATGTCTGAGGCAGGCTAGAAAAATAACCTAATTCTACATGGAAAGTGCTCAAAAGGAAGAACGAGCTTACCGAGACCATGCAGACCCTTTACATGGCACTAGAAAGATGTGATGGCTGACTCCTGCTGCTCTGCAGCCCCTTCTTGTAGCATCTTGCAATGTGCTCATGCAACTTAGATCCAACTCTCATAGGGTCAAGCCTCTCTTTATCCCTCCACATTTTGAGCTGTCTGCAGAACCTCTCAAACCTTCTACATATACCCTGTAGTGTTGACCAAAGAACTTTAACACCAAAGAGGGCTTCAAAAACTTCGTTGCAATTATCATTATCTATTAATTCCATTTTCCCATGAAAGTTTTTTTAAAGTCCTTTCGATTTATGACCAAAAATCATAACCTTCTGTTTTAGAAGCACTCGCTTCAAAATGGCATAGCTAACAGTGAAGAGGAATTGACATGTGAGGGCTGTGGAGAAGAAGGCTGGGGTCCCATCCCTTTGTTTATCATCTTATGCCCAATGCCAAGCACGCGGTTTTAATAAATATCTATTAAATAAATAATTGAATGGGTAAAGAGGCAAAACTTTTAATGCTCTGAAGTGTTTCTAGCACATAACTAAGTATTTTTTAATGGCATATGAGGGGGTACCTCCCCAAAAACAGAATTGTGCTGGACAGCGTGGAGCTTTTGTAGTATGCATTTTCTCACTAGGTGAGCATCAAGCAACTCACTCTGAGTTAGTGCACCCAAGTGTCACCTAGAACGGTTCTCTCTGGTCACCGTGAATTTTTTTGTGAAACCAGTTTCACTCGAACTTCATTTTTGGTGATGACTGATTTAAGAGAACAGCATGTAGTTGTCAAATTTTGTTTCTTTCTTGGGAAAGTTGCTGCAGAAATTGCTGTGATGTTGAGCACAGCTTACAAGGACTGCACTATGGGAAAAATTCATTTACAAGTGATTTTCTCATTTCAAAAAAAGGTGAAATGTCAATGGATGACAAACCTTGCTCCAGACATCCGTCAACTTCCTGAACAGATTAAAATGTAAACTCGCAGCGCATTTGGAGTTTGTTCCACCAGGTCACACTGTGAATCAAGCTATTTACAGGCTCTGAAAAGATTGCTTAACAGTGTGTGACCAAAAAAAAGGTCTGATTTGTGGCACACAGAAGACTGGTTTTGCCACCATGATGATGTATCTGCTCACGCAGCCATCTCAAGTGTGCCAGTTTTGGGCAAAAAAACAGCATGGCTCTCTGGCCTCAAGCACCTTACTCACCTGATCTCACTCCATGCGACTTCTTTTTGTTTACACAAATACAGAGGGACATGAAAGGTGAGTAATCTGACAATGTCGAAAAGGTGAAGAAAAAAGTGAGGAAGGTGCTATCAGCCATCCAAACAGATGAGTTTGAAAAATGTTTCCGAGAATGGAATCACAGATTTGACAAATGTATTAAGTGTAAGGGAGAGTACTTTGAAGGTTGTTTTTTAAAAATAAATTTGAATACATAGCTTTGAAAAAGAAATTCGGGTTTTGGAGGGTACCCCTAGTATTCCTCAACTTACTGCCATTGAATCAATGCCAACTCGCATCAAACATACAGGACAGGGAAGAATGGCCCGTGACACTATAACACTGTAAAATTCCTGCAGGCCTATAGTCAGGGTTTAGGGCTCAGCTATAAGGTTACTTTTGTTTCCCCCTCTTCTCTCAGTGGGCTTAGTTTTTCTTTTTTCTATCTTCACTTTTTCTCTTCTCTTTTCATTCACATTCCATGCCAACCTCCAGACCACTCCCCTTAGCCTAGGGCATGCCCTTCACACAGCTGGGAGAACTCTACCCACTGGAACATAAACCCGAGGCTGTGGAAAGCCCGCCCACCCTCCACCAGGGGATATCCCATCCACCTTCTTCTCGGGAAATCCCACTCAGCTTCTTCCAGGGAAATTCCACCTGCCCTCCCTATGCAATGTTTAACACATAGCTGGGGAAATCTCGCCTACCTTCTTCTGGGAAAGTCCTGCCTGCATTGCTGGGGTTGCTCCTACTTGTCCTCTGTGGTCCCATGTGACTGAGGGAAGTTCCTCCGCCTGCTGTAGTGCCTCACACAGCCCACGGCAGCTGGCCAACGCTCACCAATGTACCACGCTGATGCGGGAACCTTTTCCAAACCTCCACAGTGATCTACATGATAAGGGCAATTCTGTCCACAATTCACAGTGCTCTATACCAAAGCAGGTAACCCACCAGCCTTCTGTGGCATTCCGGTTGCAGAAGGCACCACGCATGCCCTCTATGGTGTCCCAAGGTGCCGTGGGCCACACCATCACAGCTTCTTGTGAGATCACCCAGTGTAGCACCATCCTCGTGGGTCCACAACACCCAACTAGCGTTCCCTGAGAGGACCATCAAACTTGTCCTCCAAATAACAGAATACTGATTGACTAGTGAAGCCACAGGAGGATAAAGTTGTAGGCCAATTTCATAGTGAAATTAGCTGCAAGCAGTTCAAAGAAGCATTCCTATGAGTCTCCAAGAGAGAGCCAGTGCTCTTCGACTCACTGGAAAATGGAACCTGGCCTCCTCTAAAACAACGCAACACAAGCAGTAATCAGCCCCAACAACCTCAACGAAAAAAACAGGAGAAACAAAAGGAAATGGCAGAAAATGTCCTGAACTTAATGTCGTGCTTAGAAGAAGCAGACATTGATCTGCCACAGAAATAAATGTTCAGAATGCTGCTTGAAGTCATACAGGATCTGAGAGA